AATCTAATTTTATTTTGTTGCTTTTTTGGTAGATTTTTTGTCGCTTTTTTGGTTCCCCCTTTATTTTTCGTTTTTTGTTACTCGTGTTTATTTATCGTGTTTTTTGCTCTCTTTTTTTTAATAACCTTTTTTTGTATTTTTTTTTTACCTTTTTTTGTAGCTTTTTCCTGTAACCCACTTTTTAATTGCTTTTCGTTTGATTTTTAATTTTTGCATTGTGTAGTTTTGTGTCGTTTTCTCCATTTTTGTCGTATTTTTAAGTTTTTTGTCGGATTTTTTTGGGTCTTTTTTGTTAGATTTTTGACTGCTTTTTTTTTTTTTTGTCTTTTTTTTTTGCATTTTTTGCCAATTTTCTGCTTTTTTCCTGGCGGCTTTCGTCATTTTCTTTGTTTTTTTTCGATTTTTTAAAACTTTTTTGTCACCTCTTTTTATTTTTTTTACTTTTTGTCTTGTCGCCTGCTTTTTTGTCGTTTTTTTTTGCCGTTTTTTGTTTTTTTTCAAACATTTTTTGGTCGCATTTTGTTTATCACCGTTTTCATTTCTTTTTTTTTCTTTTTTTTACATTTTTCTGTCTCTTTTCTAGATTTTTTTGTCATCCTTTTTGATTTCTTGGTATTTTTTAAACTTCTTTGTCGTCTTTTATCAGTTTTAATTTTTTTTCCTTGTAGTTTTTGTTATTTTTTTCAAGTTTTTTTGTGGCATTTATTTTGGATCTTTTGTCACCTTTTTGACTTATTTTTTTGTTGCTTGTTTATTTTTTGATTTTTTAAAAACTTTTTTGTCGCCTTTTAGCAATTAATTTTCACTTTTTTTCCTTGCGCCTATTTTTTGTGGTTTTTTGCCGTTTTTGTCATTTTTTTTCAAGTTTTTTGTCGCATTTTTTTGTTCCTTTTTATCACGTTTTTTGCTTCCGTGCTTTTTGTATTTTTTGTAATTTTTTTTCTAGAGCTTTTTTGACATCCTTTTTGATTTTTTGATATTTGTTAACTTTTTTGTCGCCTTTTATCAGTTTTTTACTTTTTTCCTTGTCGCCTTTGGGCCGTTTTTTGTCGTTTTTCTAATTTTTTTGTCACATTTTAATGGCCTTTTTTTAACTTTTTGTGGTTTCTTTTGAAGTTTTTATTATTTTTTTCTGGCATTTATTTTGGACTTTTTGTCACGTTTTTGACTCCTTTTTCGTTGCTTGCTTATTTTTTGTTTTTTTTTAAGTTTTTTGTCGCCTTTTATCAGTTTTTATTTACTTTTCCTTGCGCTTTTTTTTGTCGTTTTTTTTAGCGCATATTTTGTCCTTTTTAATCACTTTTTTGACTTCTTTTTCTTTTGCGTTTTTTTTGCATTTTCTGTCATTTTTCTGTCTTTTTTTCTAGATTTTTTTTCATCCTTTTCGACTTTTTGGTATTTTGTGTACATTTTTGTTTCCTTTTATCAGTCTTTTTAATTTTTTCCTTATTTTTATCTTTTTTGCCACTTTTATTTTTTTTTGCCCTTTTTTTTTGTTAGCTTTTTGCCATTTTTTACTTTATCTCTTTTTTTGCATTTTTCGTCTTTTTTGTAATTTTTTTTAGCGTTTTTTGTCATCATTTGTCTTTTTTGGTATTTTTAAAATTTTTTTTATCGCGTTGTATCAGTTTTTTACTTTTTTCCTCGTCGCCAATTTTTATGTATGTTTTCCCGCTTTTGTTTTTTTCCTTTTTCTGTTAGCTTTTGTACTTTTTTACTTCGGCGTTTTTTTGCATTTTTTTTAGAGTTTTTTGTCATCCGTTTTGATATTTTGGATTTTTTTTGTCGTTTTTTTATCAGTATTTTACTTTTTTCCTTGTCGCATATTTTTGTGTCGTTTATTTTGCAGTTTTTGTTATTTTTCTCAAATTTTTTGTGGCATGCATTTAGGACTTTTTCTCCGCTGATTTGACTCTTTTTTTCATTTTTTATCCTCCCCTTTTTGTTACCTTTTTGACTTTGTTCTCTGTCGCTTTTTTTGTATTTTTTACCATTCTTCTGTCTTTTTTTCTAGCGTTTTTTGGCATCCTTTTTGATCTTTTCGTGTTTCATTAACTTTTTTGTAGCCTTTTATAATATTTTTTACTTTTTGTCTTGTCACCTATTTTTATGTAACTTTTTGCCGTTTTTGTTGTTTTTTCATGTTTTTTGTCGCTTTTTTTTTACTTTTTTCGTCAACTTTTTGACTCCTTATACTTTGGCGCTTTGTTTTTTGCTTTTTTTTGTCATTTTCCTGTGTTTTTTCTAGCGTTTTCGGTTATCCGTTTTCATTTTTCGTATTTTTTTGTCATCTTTTATATGTTTTTTACTTTTTTCCTTGCGCCTTTATGTCGTTTTTTGCCGCTTTTGTCATTTTTTCAAGTTTTTGTCTCATTTTTTTGTTCTTTTTTTATAAATTTTTTGACTACGTCTTGCATTTTTTTTATCTTTTTTGATTTCTTGTTTTTTTTAAACTTTTTTGTCGCCTTTTATCAGTTTTTTACTTTTTTCCGTCGCCTATTTTTAGGTCGTTTCTTTTGTAGTTTTTGTTATTTTTTTCAAGTATTTTGTGGCATTTATTTTGGACTTTTTGTCACCTTTTTGACTCCTTTTTTTATTGCTTGTTTATTTTTTGATTTTTTAAAAACTTTTTTATCGCCTTTTATCAATTTATTTTTACTTTTTTTCCTTGCGCCTATTTTTTGTCGTTTTTTGCCGTTTTTTGTAATTTTTTTCAAGTTTTTTGTGGCATTTTTTGGTTCCTTTTTATCACGGTTTCTGCTTCCGTTTTTTGCATTTTTTGTAATTTTTTTTCTAGAGCTTTTTTGACATCCTTTTTGATTTTTTGGTGTTTGTTAAGTTTTTTGTCGCCTTTTATCAGTTTTTTACTTTTTTCTTTGTCGCCTTTGGGCCGTTTTTTGTCGTTTTTCTAACTTTTTTGTCACATTTTAATGGCCTTTTTTGTTACTTTTTTGTGGTTTCTTTTGAAGTTTTTATTATTTTTTCAAGTTTTTTTGTGGCATTTATTTTGGACTTTTTGTCACGTTTTTGACTCCTTTTTCGTCGCTTGCTTATTTTTTGTTTTGTCGCCTATTTTTGTGTCGTTTATTTTGCAGTATTTGTTATTTTTCTCAAGTTTTTTGTGGCATGCATTTAGGACTTTTTCTCACCTTTTTGACTCTTTTTTTTGTTGCTTTTTTTTGATTGTTTGATTTTTTTTAACTTTTTGTCGCCTTTTATCAATTTTTTTACTTTTTTCCTTGTCACTTGTTTTTATGTCGTTTTTTGCCATTTTTCTGTCTTTTTTTTAGCGTTTTTTGTCATTATCTTAGATTTTTTATTTTTTTTTTACTTTTTTGTCATCTTTGATCAGTTTTTTTTCACTTTTTTTTCTTGTCGTCTCTTTTTATGTCGTTTTTGGGCCGTTTTTTGTCGTTTTTTAAGATTTTTTTGTCGCACTTTTTTTGCCTTTTTTGACTCCTTCTTCTTTAGTGTCTTTTTTTTGCATTTTTGTCATTTTCCTGTCTTTTTTTCTAGATTTTTTTTTCATCCTTTTTGACTTTTTGGTATTTTTTTATGCATTTTTGTCTGCTTTTATAAGTTTTTTTACTTTTTTCCTTTACGCCTATTTTTATCTTTTTTGCGGCTTTTTTTGCCTTCTTTGTGAGCTTTTTGATTTTTTTTACTTTGTCGTTTGTTTGCATTTTTTGTATTTTTTTAGCGTTTTTTGACATCCGTTTTGATTTTTTGGATTTTTTTTTAATTTTGGCGATTTTTTATAAGTTTTTTACTTTTTTCCTTGTCGCCTATTTTTACGTCGTTTCTTTTGCAGTTTTTGTTATTTTTCTCAAGTTTTTTGTGGCATTTATTTTGGACTTTTTCTCACCTTTTTGACTCCTTTTTTTGTTGTTTTTTTTTGATTGTTTGATTTTTTTTATTTTTTGTGACCTTTTCCCAGTTTTTTTTACTTTTTTTCTTATCGCCTCTTTTTATGTCGTTTTTTGGCCGTTTTTTGTCGTTTGTCCAACTTTTTCTTTGTTGTTTTTTTTTTTAATATTTTGTCATTTTTCTCTCTTTTTCTTAGCGTTTTTTGCCGTTTTTGTTGTTTTTTCAAGTTTTTTGTCGCATTTTTTTGGCCTTTTTTGTCACCTTTTTGACTCAATTGTTTTATCCCTTTTTTGCCATTTTTCTGTCTTTTATAAGTTTTTTTACTGTTTTTCGCTTGCTTATTCTAACTTTTGTTGTTGCTTGTTTGACAGCCGTTTTCCACTTTTTTTCAAACTTTTTTTTTAATCGTGTTTTTTGCTTCCTTTTTTCCGTTTTTGTGGTCGCTTTTTTACTATAGTCTTTTTTTCACTTTTCTTCGCCTTTTATTTGTCGTTTTTTAAATTTTTCTTTGCCTTTAGTTTCAACATTTTTTTATTTTAACTTATCATATAAGGAATCTCAAGAAATAATTCTCAAAAACTAATTTCTGTTTGATTGTATTTGAAAGACGAGAATAAAGGCGCCAAATTCAAATGTCAACAAATCAGGAGACTTTTAATGAATGCGATTTTTGTCAGGTTGGCAACATTTAAAATTTTATGATGGCAAACTTGATTGCTGCTAATAATTCAGAATTGCCAACACAAAAATTCGCTCGAAAGTCCCCAGATATTATCAAATTATTCGAAATCTGTTCCTGCAAATTTAATGTTCGGAACAATAAAACTTTTAATTTTTTAGGAACATCTTATATTTAGCCAGCTGCGAGAACCCGATTGTGTGGCTTAGTCGAACCAAACCAGATAAACAGTCACTCACACTTTAATTAAAATTTTTAGATAAAATTAATTCAAACAATTACACAACTGTTTGCAGGCGCCAAATTCAAAAAAATTCTTTATCCATATCGCATTGAACAAACACCACCATCTTCATAATTCCCCGATTAACACACTTAATTAAATAGATCAAGACCATGAGTCTGACTTTTTTATCTTTGACCTTGCACCATAAACACGAACTTGATAAATACGACCTCTTATTACTACACACCGTCAGTCAAACTCGAAATGAAAGCCTCCACGGACCCCCCACAAACCAAAACGTGGCCCCAATACGTCGCCGTCCTCTCAGGTAACCTAAAATTTTGGAAAAACTCTTAATTAGTGTGAATTTAGCCCTTCTGGCCATGTTTTGTTCCGGAATCCATATGGGTTGGACCAGCCCAACTGTTCCCAAAATCTTGTCGGACGAATACCTCTTCGACGTAACCCCAGAAGAGGCTTCCTATATTACAATCATCGGACCCTTGGGAGATATCGTCGGAAACATCTTGTCTTCGATTTTAGTAGACTTGATTGGTCGCAAATTCACTATTCTCCTCATTGGGGTCCCCCAGCTGGTGTCCATGGCGATGATCTACTTCTCCACCTACTCGGTTCTGTTGCTGTACGTGGCGAGGTTCATCGGAGGCATCTCCGAAGGGTCCTGTTTCACGATTCTCCCACTCTACATCTGCGAGGTATCCGAACCCAAAATCCGCGGCCTCCTGGGGGCTTCATTCTCGCTGATCCTCATCTACGGCCTCCTCTTCGTCAACCTAGTGGGGAGCTTCTTCGGCATCTTCGACGCCGCGTTGATCTACATCGCCTGTTCTTTGGTCTTCATGGCGTGCTTCAGCATCATGCCCGAAAGCCCCTATTACCTCATCATGAAGAACAAACTCGAGCAGGCTAAAGCCAGTTTGAGGAGACTACGAGCTTGTGAAGACGTAGATCTTGAGCTAGCCGCCCTCTCCAAGGACGTGGCAAGACAAATGTCCGAGAAAGGTCGCTTCAAGGACCTCTACGCCATCAAATCCAACAAGATGGCCGTCATAGTCATGATCATCCTCCGAGTCCTTCAACAATTCAGCGGCATCAGCCCTTTCACCATGTACGCCCAGCTGATGTTCAAGGACGCCACTGACGCCATCCCCCAGCAATGGGCCGCCAGTCTCATGATGCTCATCCAGTCCTTTGCCACCTTGACGGCGGTGTTGATAGTGGACGTGATCGGGAGGAAACCCATGATTCTGATTTCGGTGGGTGGTTGTTGCGTCACGTTGACGTTCAACGCGGTTTTCTTCGTCCTGAGGGACTACACGGACGTGGAGGTGTCCCATTTGGGTGTGCTGCCGCTCGTTGGGTTGATCCTGTTCACGATTTGCTTCTCGTTGGGGCTGGGGAGTGCCGTGAATTTGCTCCTGGGGGAGTTGTTCCCGGCGAATGTTAAAGCGTTAGCTGCGTGTTTGCTGAATATGATTTTTGCTGTGGGGATGTTGACGACTACCAAGTTTTACCAGTTTATGGCGGATACGTTTAGCTTGGTTATTCCTTTTGCGGTTTTTGGGTTGTTCCAGTTCGTGGGGTTTGTTTTCTGCTGGAAATACGTGCCGGAGACGAAGAACAAGACGTTGGAGCAGATTCAGCAGGAGTTGAAGGGGAACAAGGATGCGAAAGGTGCGTTGTAAGAGGGATTAAAGTGATTAGGGGGACGTGTTTATTTATTTACTAGTTTTTAATAAAAATCTTTAAATTGTGTTTGTTTTTGTTAATCTGGAGTAATGCAGTTGTATATAGAGCTAACACTAAAGAAATGAGTCAGCAGTATAAGTTGTGAAATGCTGTTGACAGGAATGATTCTGAGAAAAGTTTATGAATTTTTACTACTTGGTTGCTCGTGTAAATATTTTCAAGTGGTTATCAGAGTTTTCTAACTTCTGTTGGCAGTGTTCAATCTTTATTCCGCACTTGTCGATCTTTAGTCCTTGCCGATTCAATCTGTATTTCTGAATTTTCGACGCTTGCATTTTTTAGTTCTTCGTTTATTGTCTTTCGATCTTCAAACTCATGGATTCTTCATTTGTTGTATATTTCCCAATTCTTCAAATCTTGCAATGTCGTATTTCTGAATTCTTGGATTCTTAAATGCTCGAATAGATTTTTGAACTTTTTAATTTCTGTAACTCTGGATTCCTGGATTTTAGGATAATTAACTTGATCTTTGTATTTTTGAATATTTGAATTTTCAAGTTCTTGAATTCTTCAATATTTGGATTCTTGGGTCTTGGGATTTTCAATAGGACTTGATTTTTGGATTCATGGATTCTTCAAATATAGTATTCTTGATTTGTTGAATTCTTGGATTATTGCATTCTTGGATTCTTGAATTATTGCATTCTTGAATTTTTAGATTTTTCCATTTCTGGATCTTGGGAATATTAACTAGATTATTGATTCTTAATTTTTTGAATCCTTGAATCATTGAATCCTTCAATCCTTCAATCCTTGAATTTTTGGTTTCTTGTAGTTGTGAAGCCTTGAATCCTTGAATCTGTGTATCCTTGTATCCTTGAATCCTTCAATCTTTGAATCCTTGAATCCTTAAATCATTGAATTCTTGAATCCTCGAATTATTGTTCTCCGAATACTTGAATCTTTGAATTCTTAAATCCTTGACCCTTGAATCCTTCAATCTTTGAATCATTGAATTCTTCATTCCTTGAATTTTTGGTTTTTTGTAGTTTCGAAGTCTGGAATCTTTGAATCAGTAAATCCTTAAATTTTTGGATCCTTGAAAAACGTTGAGTCCTTGAATCCTCGAATCCTTGCATCTTTCTATCGCTGAATCCTTGAATCCTTGAATTTTTAGTTTCTTGTAGTCTTGAAAACTTGAATCCTTGAGTACTTGAATTCTTGAATCCTTGTATACCTGAAAACTTGAATTCTTAGAAATATTGAGTCCTTGAGTCCTTGAATCCTTGAATCTTTGATTGAATATTTGAATTTTTGGTTTTTTGTAATATTGAAATCCCGAATCCTGGAATCCTTGCTTTCTTGAATCCTTAAAAAACTTTGAGTCCGTCAATCCTTGAATCTTTGATTTCTTGAACCCTTGGATTCTTGAATCCTGGAATCCTTGATTCTTTGAATCTTTGAATACTTGTATTCTTGAATTTTTGTTTCTTGGAGTCTTGAAGTCTTGAATCCTTGAATCCTTGAAACCTTAAAAAACCTTGAGTCTTTGAATTCTTGAATAAATGAATTTTTGAATCCTTGAATCTTTGAATCTTTGAATCCTTTAGTCCTTAAATCCTTAAAAAAACTTGAGTCTTTGAATTCTTGAATCTTTCAATTCTTGTATCCTTGAATTCTTAAATCCTTGAATTCTTGAATCCTTGAATTCTTGAATTCTTGAATCCTTGTCTCTGTGAACATTGAATCATTGAATCCTTAAATCTTTGAATCCTTCAATTCTTGATTCCTTGAATTTTTGAATCTTTGAATTCTTGAATTCTGCAAACCTTCAATCCTTGAAATCTTGAATTTTTGAATCCTTCAACCTTTGAACCCTTGAATCTTGCAAACCTTCAATTCATCAATCTTTGGTTTCTTGCAGTCTAGAAACCTTCAATCCTTGAATCTTCGAATCTTGAAATCTTTGAATTTTCGAATCCTTGAATCCTTGAATCCTTGAATTATTAATCCTTGATCCTTAAATCCTTGAATCCTTGAATTCTGCAATCATCGAATTTTTGGTTTCTTGTAGTCTTGAAGTCTTGTATCCTTGAATCTATGAATCCCTGAATTCTAGAATCCTTAAAAACCTTGAGTCCTTGAATCTTTTGAATCTTTAAAAAACCTTGAATCTTTAAATCCTTGAATCCTTGAATTTTTGATTCCTTGAATCCTTGATTCCTTGGATTCTCTAATCCTGGAATCCTTGAATCTTTGAATACTTGTATCCTTGAATCTTTGTTTCTTGTAGTCTTGAAGTCTCCAATCCTTGAAACTTTGAATCCTTGAAACCTTAAAAACCCCGCGTCTTTGAATTCTTGAATACTTGAATTTTTGAATTCTTGAATCTTTGAGTCCTTGAATCCTTGAATCCTTAATTTCTTGAATTCTTGATTGCTTGATCCTTGAATCCTTGATTCCTTGGATTCTTGAATCCTGGAATCCTGAAATCTTTGAATTCTTCAGTTTTTGAATCTTTGAATATTAGAATCTTTGAATCCTTGAATCATTAAATTCTTGAATCCTTGAATATTTGAGTCGATGAATTCTTGAATCCTTGATTCCTTGAATCTTTGATTACTTGAATCCTTGATTCTTTGAATGCTTGATTGCTTGCATCCTTGATTCCTTGGATTCTTGAATCCTGGAATCCTTTGAATCCGTGAATTTTTGAGTCCTTAAATCCTTGAATCTTTGAATCTTTGAATATTTGAATCCTTGAATTTTTGTTTATTGTAGTCTTGAAGTCTTGAATTCTTGGATCCTTAAATCCTTAAAAAACCTTGAGCCTTTGAATGTTTGAATCCTTGAGTTTGTGTATTCCAGCATCCTTCAATCCTTGCATCCTTGATTTCTTGAATTCTTTGGAACTTTAAACCCTTTAATCCTTAATTCTTGAATCTTTGACTCATTGACTTTAAATGGTTGAATCCTTAAATCTTTGAATTCTTGAATCTTTGATTCCTTGAATCCTTGTTTCCTTGAATTCTTGATTCCTTAAATTCTTGATTCCTTGAATTCTTGAATGCTTGTATAGTTGAATTCTTGAATTCTTGAATTCTTGAATTCTTGAATTCTTGAATCCTTGAACCCTTAAACCCTTTAATCCTTCAATTCTTGAATTCTTGAATTCTTGATCCTTAAATTTTTGTATCCTTGAATTCTTCAATCTTCTAATTTTTGGTTTCTTATAGTCTTGAAATGTTGCATCCTTGAATCTTTGATTACTTAAAAAACCTTGTGTCTTTGAATCCTTGAATTTTTGAATTCTTGAATCCTTGAATACTTGAAGTCTTGAATTATTGAATCCTTGAATCTTAGAATTTTTGAATCCTTGAATCCTTGAGCACTTGAGTCGTTGAATCCTTGAATCTTTGAATTTTTGGTTCCAGGGGTGCGATTTTGTTTCTCGATCGAAGCGATAAATTAAATGTCATTACGTAGGTTTTAAATGCAAAAGTTTGTATTTATTCTTTGCATATAAGCTTATTAAATGCTTAAAAGTTTACAATTACCTTAATTTTAAGAACTTATAACTCAGAATTACGATTTTGAACTTCTATTTTGATATAAATTTCGAGGTTATGTCACCAAAATTTATCACTTTACTCAGAGCTATCGAGAAAAGATCGCTGCATGAAGACTTGATTTCGTGACAGAATCGAGAAATGTGGCAAAAATGTAGCATCTCAACCAATCAGCAAACGAGATTTTATCGCTAACGGGTTTTTTTCGATTGAGAAACAAAATCGCACCCCTGTGGTCTTAAAGTCTTAAATCCTTGAATTCTTTAAATCTTTGAATCCTTGAATCCTTTTCTCCTTGAATTCTTGAATCCTTGAATCCTTGATTCCTTGAATTTTTGAATGTATCAATCCTTGAATTTTTAGTTTCTTGTAATCTCGAAGTCTTGAATCCTTGAATCTTTGAAACTTTGAGTCCTTGTATCCTTGAATCCCTGTATCCTCGAATCTTGGAATTTTTGATTCCTCGAATCCTAGATTCCCCGAATCCTTGAATCCTTGAATTCTTAAATCCTTGTATCTTTGAATTCCTCAATCCTTATTTTTTTTTTTCCTTTTTTTGTTAGCTTTTTGACTTTTTTTACTTTATCTCTTTTTTTTTGCATTTTTTGTCTTTTTTTGTATTTTTTTTAGCGTTTTTCGTCATCCGTTTTATTTTTTTGGTATTTTTTTAAAATTCTTTTGTCTTGTATCAGTTTTTTACTTTTTTCCTCGTCGCCAATTTTTATGTATTTTTTTCCCGCTTTTGTTTTTTTGCCTTTTTCTGTTAGCTTTTTGACTTTTTTACTTCGGCGTTTTATTTGCATTTTTTTTAACGTTTTTTGTCATCCGTTTTGATTTTTTTGATTTTTTTTGTCGCCTTTCATTATTTTTTTTTTATTTTTCTCCTTGTCGCCTGTTTTTATGTCGTTTTTGCCATTTTTCCGTCTTTTTTTTAGCGTTTTTTTTAGATTTTTTTATTTTTTTTTTACTTTTTTGTCACCTTTTATCAGTTTTTTTTTCACTTTTTTTCTTGTCTCTTTTTATGTCGTTTTTGGGCAGTTTTTTTGTCGTTTTTCTAACTTTTTTGTCGCATTTTAATGGCCTTTTTTGTTACCTTTTTGACTTCTTTTTCTTTGTTTCATTTTTGTTTTAATATTTTGTCGTTTTGGACCAGCCCAACTGTTCCCAAAGTCCTCTCGGACGAATACCCGTTCGACGTAACCCAAGAAGAGGCCTCCTATATTACAATCATCGGACCTTTGGGAGACATCGTCGGAAAGATCTTGTCTTCGATTTTAGTGGACTTGATTGGTCGCAAATTCACCATTCTCCTCATTGGGGTCCCCCAGCTGGTGTCCATGGCGATGATCTACTTCTCCACCTACTCGGTTCTGTTGCTGTACGTGGCGAGGTTCATCGGAGGCATCTCCGAAGGGTCCTGTTTCACGATTCTCCCACTCTACATCTGCGAGGTATCCGAGCCCAAAATCCGCGGCCTCTTGGGGGCTTCATTCTC